TTCCTCCAGAGCCGCAACTTGAACTGCATTGCGCTGTGCGAAGGTGCGGGGATGTGGGGTGTGGCACAGGGTGGGGGGTACAGGCAGCACCCCCACCCCTGGCTGGGTGGAGGGGCGAGGGAGGGCCCCAGCAGGGACCTCTGCCCCATTCCTTGGCCGACAACCCCTTCCTCTGCAGTCATCACCTCCAAGGACCTGCAGAAACATGGCAACATCTGGGTCTGCCCCGTCTCGGACCACGTCTGCACCCGCTTCTTCTTTGTGTGAGTGCTTGGCTGTGCCCCCCTCACAGCACCCATGGGACACCCGTGGGACACCCCTCACTGCCCCCCTTCTCCCCTTCCAGGTATGAAGACGGCCAAGTGGGAGACGCCAATATCAATACTCAGGACCCCAAAATCCAGAAGGAGATCATGCGTGTGATCGGGACTCAGGTGTATACAAACTGAGTGGTTGGACGCCCCCGGGACCCCCCAGCACCGAGTGAAGCCCCCGGGCTGGGGAAGGACGAGCGGGTTTCAAGGCTGAGGCAGGGCCGACAGCGGTGGCTCCCCCTGTACATCACGTCCAGCATCCAGCGAGCACCAGGCAGGTTTAGTGGTCCCTTGTACCCTCCCCGTCCTGTCCCCCAGCGTCCCCAACCCTACGGCAGCGCGGAGAAGGAGCTGCAGGGGCGGGCGTGGGCGGGGGGGGGAGGGAGGGGCAGGGGCTGGCGTGGCCGGTGGCCGCCCCTCCTGGTGCTGGCAGCGACAGGGGTTTTACTGATGATGAGAAACTGAAGCAAAAAAACCAACAACCAACCAACAAACCAAACCCAAAAACAGAGAGAAAAGAAAAGAAAAAAAGGAATCCGTGTCCCTGGAAGTATTTAAATAGGTGGGGGGGGAAGGGTTGGGATCGCGGGGAAGGGACAGGATCATGGGGAAACAATGGGATTGCAGGGAAAAGATCATAGGGTATTGATGGGGCTTTGGGAGAGAGCTGGGACGTCGGGTAGGGAATCGTGCTGCCCTCACACCATGGCAAAGGGGTTGTGCTGGTACCATGCCGCAGAGAACAGACTGTGCCTCCCGGATGGGCCCACACAAGGGACACGGGACCACCCTGAGTGTGGCAGAGGTTCCCCTCAGGCTGGGAGCGGCTCCCACAGGATCATCCCAGGAACACCGCGGCGTCCAAGGGGTTGAGAGTAACAAACCTTGGAGCAGCCCCTCACTGTGCCACCCATTGGGTCCAGCCGGGGCTCATACAGGAAGGTAGGGACTGACCTCAGAAACCTGGGTCAGGTTCAGTCCCCAGCTGAGACCCAACAGGCTCATCTCACTGCCAGGGGCACTCAGTGTCACGTCTGCGGTGTCCCCTGCCCTTGGGGGGTGACAGAGGGACTCCACTGTCTGTCCATCACTGTGCACTGGCCCCAGAGGACACCCAAACCTGGGTGATACGATGCCCCCCCCTCACCACCTGCTCCGTTGGTATTCTGCTACAATTCGTGGGCTTTGGGGTTTTTTACCCCTTAAATAAATAAATGAAGCCACTTTCCCATGAAGGGCGTGAAGGGAAATCCCACGAGACATGGATCCTCCAGCAGCTCCCCCATCACTTGGAAAGAACAGCGAAACCATGGGAATTCCTCTGGAAAACGGGAATTCTGGGAAAAAGCAAATAAAAAGAAGCCCATGGTCCTCTCCCGGCTCCACCAAATTCCCGGTGGATGCACTGGCCCAGCTGGTGCCTTCGCGGGGGGATTTGGGTGGTGAGACCCGGCAGCAACTGCTCCAAAGAACCAGCCAAGCTGCCGACTTTGACAAAATAAGTTTATTTCACTTCGCTTCGTTTCTGCCGAAACCTCACATTTTTCTCTTTTTTGTTGTTGTTTAGTTTTTGGCTGAAAAAAA